TTCATTTTTCTGTTCCAGTGGAATGTACGGAAAAGAAGGGTGGCCATTATCCCTAGCATGTGGGAAGTACTACCGAGATCATAATTTTCTAATAAGAGAACGTCACTGATATCAAAGATATGCATTTATAACTTCACATCCCCAACCCTCAATATTCAACCCCTCCAAAAATTAGAATTTATTGTTTGCCTCGTAACTCCACCACCCCTGGGTTGATTTTCAATGCCTCTCTAGCATTTTCGTCCATGGCATAGTAGTAATTTTGTTTTAAAACCTCATCATAATGCGAGCAGTACTTTCCGGGTTATAGTTGGGACAATGATTAGCAAACAGAAAGACGGAAATTAGCAGTTTTTAGTCATATAAATCAAGACATAAGTGGTTGAAAGTATCATGATGTAACAAAATCATTTAGTGGAGAAAATTGACTTACATTTTTTTATTCAAATTTTTTGCTTTATTGGCATTTTAAATATTTAGTTTAATTAGTTTGTAATTATCTTGTTTTTGTATAATACCTTTATCCACTTGTGTCTTCAAATGTAATATCAAAAAACCTTTTTGACTATTTATACGATTACAATACATCCTCACCAATTTGCGGGACGTTATTGCCATTCGGTGACGCTATTCAAATATTTCTCGTCATCAGAATAGGTAAACGGTAACACAACAAGCAATTCTTACCTATTCCAACGTACTAGGTTGTTATCTTGTTCGTTGTAATAGCCCTACCAAAAATAGCGTCAAGCGGAATGACTCTGCACTTCCCGCGCAACGCTGACATCAGTTTACGAAGGATCATTTTCGGCACAAGTTAGCTCATCTGAGGAAAACATTAGCTAAGGATATTTGATAGAAAAATCAAATGGATGAAGTCAGTCAAACAGATCCATTCATCCCATGTTTAACATCGGTGAGATCACTGCTGAGGTATACTCGGACGCGTGTAGAAAACATGTCTGATAGGTGAGTCGAATTACCAGGGTTGAATGCGTAAAATATGTTAACGCCAAAAGATGAAGCATACCTTACCCCACGTCCTAGAACACCCAACGGCCAAGTTTTTATCCCAAAAAAAAATGCCGGAAAATGATCAGTAGCCTCTGTAGCGTCAAAAAACAAAGTTCGAGCAATTTTTATTTTTTCTCTCTTTTCCTTTTTTGCCGCCGTTAGTGGGTCGATTTTGAAAGATTACAAAGCTCTTTCGTCATTGACATAACAGTAACCTTGCATGGAAATTTTATCAAAATCCGACCGGCACTTTCCACGTTAGAGACGTTAGCGGGCATTTAGTCAGACAGACCAACACACAGACAGACCGATAGACTGATAGATCGACGGAAATGAGTGACAGTTTTTCGTGATGTGTATGTTATATATATAACATCAAAAAACAAAATGTTAAATTTTTCATAATTTTTCTCGATTACAATACTTCCTTACCAGGGGCGTGGGACGTAAAGAGCAGATAATGTAAAATAGTACTAATGGAATAAATCGCCGAATGTTGAAAATATATAATTTATGTTATATTGGTGTAAATGTGTGCTCTCGGTCTACCCGAATACTAAAATTGTAGAATGACCGAGATAAGTCGCTGTCAAACTCTACATTTTATGTCGAATGAGTCATGTTCTCTTACTTTTCGCGTATCTTTTTGCTTCCTAGAATGTTATAAATAACAACGTGGCGTTAAAATGCAGTATTTTATAGTTGCTGCACAATAATCGATAAGGATAACGTGGTGTACCATGCACGGACGTTTACATTCATAATACATGATTCATCAGTAAGAGGATTGTAAACAATGTAAGCTATCCGGACCGTAACATGTAAATATTAATATTTGCTTTGTTTTACATATTTTGTAACAGGCACAGATATAGAATCTCGCTAAATAGGAGCATGCAACCTCTTCCTGTTCGTTAAAAAGAACCCAAAGCTTGAATGATCAAAGAATGTAACTGTTGATTCGGATTTGGTAAATGATCACTCACAGTCCACAAATATAACAGTTCATCGAATAGCAAAACGGGTAGATGAAACCAGAATTCTAATCCCTGTATCTCATTGCACTTTGCTCACCAGATCAGCTGATCCAACTTCGTTAATACCCATACAAACTTTTGTATAACGGATGTGATAAATATTGAGTTGGACAGTTTAGAAGTTGCTTTGCGGCTGCCCAATTGAACTGTCAATGCTAATATGCAAATGTCCCTTCTGGGGAGGTGTTGGCCAATGTTCAACGATTTACTTTCATGTATTTCCAAATCCCTAAATGAAGGCTTTTGAGTGTGCTATGAACAAGATAATCTCTATGAATCTATTATGTATCTGTGAAGCCTTTGGCTAGTTTGGTTACATAAACCCGACTGCGAAAGGCTGAGGCAATCTGCTTGACTTAATTTTTTCACACCCCTATTATGACTTCCATCGCTCCCAACAACTATCGTTTGGCCACGAGGCTACTATTGTAGGCTTTTCATAACTGCACACATATATCCTAGGCCTAAGCTGATCATTTAATCCCACCCCTATATTTGAGTGCATCCACGTCTCTTATGCACTTAAACGTTTTTGTTGTCACCCCCGCATACTTGATTACCCGCTTTAGCCGAGTCGTCGTTCGAACTCGTGTCGTAGTAATCGAAATCTGGGGGTATCCACCACACAAGAACGTTTTGAAACAGTGTGCGGTATATAGCATAGCGAAATGACCTGTGGCGGAGCGGCCAGAACAAGGGGAATCAATATGGGTATTGAAAAGTCCGTTTCATAGAGGGGATAGAAACAAATTGATGGTGACGTCTAGACCTAATTTTTTATGGGATGTTGACTGGTGAAGACCGCATTTCGCAATCGATTTATCAGAGATACGGCTACGGCATGGTACGTTGCTGAAAAATGTGTATAAAAAAAAGTTGAAAAAGTTTAAAAGATGTCTACTTTATAGCGGGAATAAATGGAAACTAATGGCAAAATCTGAGGCTCAATTTTCATCAATAGTTAACCGGTGAAAACCACATAACGCAATTTATCACTATTTCTGAAAAAGAGGCATTTTTGGAAACGCTTATGGCCCACTTTAGAATTGGATAGATCGAAACTAATGACGATGTTTGGTGCTCAATTTGTGATGAAAATCCCATCCTGGTCTAACAGTTTTCGAGCTGCACGGTGTTACTAAGAAATATCCACTATATACGAGGATGAATCGAAACTGACGACGATGAATCAAATTAAGTTTTCATGGGGATTTATGTTCAAAGACATTGTGACAACTTAAGAGCGAGAAGTGGGATACGTCTACACCTATTAACAACTGGCAGACTTTGACGTATTGGGACGCCCGCGTGCCCACTCTCATTCTCTGCCGATGATGCCTAGGCCCTTAAACGTTCAAATTTCAAACGAAATTTTAACAAAGTAACCCGGCTCTCTCATTTTCTCAGTGGCATAGTAGGGCCCCAGAATTCGCTCTGCCTTGGGGCTCCAGCCGCTGGGCCCAAGCTCTTGTGTGCCCAGAGACCGTACATCTCTTAAGACGGGTCTGTCGCCAGTATCACCGTTTAACTTCTGACCTCTGTATTTGTATTCCTAAAGCATTTGATATATAGTAAAATCGACATCTGTCTATCAACCTGATGAACCATTTCCATCCTATCCTCTCCATGTTATCTCCACTCATCTCGGCATATCACACTCGGACGCGTGCTGCGCCCATGCCAGAGCTCGCGTTCACCGGAGAGAGAGGAGAGCCGGTGCGAGTGAAACGGAGATATCGACACGCCGCGTCCGTATAGCGAGAAAGCAGCTGCACGCGCTTCGCTGGTCACAGGTGGTTAAAGTGTGGGAACACCATAGCCTCCGAGATTCCCACGATCGACAGCCCAACGCCCGCCGCCTGCCGCCGCCGACAACGACGGCCGTGCGGACGCGTCCAGCAAGCAGTGTTGCCACATAGCGCGGCGGTAATCGGATATGATGGCACGAGGACAACTTGCGATATAAGTGCGCCGTTGCAAGCTCAGATCACGAGCATCTAGGCAGTATTTTATTCTTAAATATCTAAAAATCACAGTTACTTCTATATGCAGCATCCCATTAAAAAGCACCATTGTTGATCGACTTATCAGGACCTATCGTTCATTCGCAATTCATAGGACACGCTCCAAGAGAACATTCATGCAGCAATACATTATGTCAGTTTCCTTAGGTTCAGAACCCGTTTTTTAGAATCGGAGTTCTGTTTGGTGCCCCGAGCCCCGAACAAAGCAGAAAAGAAACTACATTCCTCAACATTTCCTTGATAAAAGAAAACCGTGACCGGGTATCTTATTCGTGCAAGAGCTTTGCTGTCGACCACCAGCCTCGTCTCTATAGACGAAGTTAATTTTGTGATGAAACAATAAATGTTACGAAAAACCGACGAATGGTCAACGAGTGTGTGCAATACTATAATGCTAACAAGAATTAACAAACTGTAACAATGCTTAGAACAATAATATGAGAGAAACGGAGGGGGAGACCTCAGGCGTCAAACCAGTTGAGTCGAGCAAAGCCGAAGGTTAATAATCTGTCGGGCTGCTATAATTACAAGGCTCAATTGTTTCCTTCTGAGATAAACAAGTGCAAGTTATTATACTGACAAAACTTCTTTCCTCCAGCGACTGGAAACAAGTAGATAGTACCTTAATAATAGTTTAAAACTATCATGTTTGCAAACTCTTACTGCAAAATATCTGAGAAACCTTCAATAAAATCTCTTGAAGTCTGCTCAGTATGCGTGTGTTTACATCTGGAATTCCGTTAAACAGCTCTCCCCGTTCACCCAACAAATTCTGGCACGTGACAACGTCGCCTTGCGCTCCACACCTGAGGCGGCTATAAAGGCGCGGCCCCTTCCACAAATCGCATTCATTCCGAGTTTAACCGTTTAACGGTGAACTGCTGCTGTCGTTTATCGCTCGCGCACGCACGCTACTTGTGTCCACATGTCTTACGAAATGTCAACCGCCGTTGAAGAGCCTCAACCCATTTCCCGGACCTACCAGTACCGGAAGGTGATGAAACCCATGCTGGAACGCAAGAGAAGAGCCCGGATCAACAGGTGTCTGGACGAACTGAAGGAGTTAATGGTGACCGCGCTCCAAAGCGAAGGTGAAAATGTGTCCAAGCTGGAAAAAGCTGACATCCTGGAACTCACCGTTCGTCATCTGCACAAGCTGAGACGTCAACAAAGGCTGTCGGCGAATCCAGTTATCGACTCCGACAGATTCAGAGCTGGTTACACTCACTGTGCCAATGAAGTGTCCAGGTGCCTTGCTTCAACTCCAGGAGTGGATGTTCAACTGGGAACCAAACTGATGACCCACCTCGGCCATCGCCTGAATGAGATGGATAAAGTGGCGCCTTTAGTGATTCAAGTGTCTCAGTATACTCCACCTGGTTCACCCTCCGACTCAGACTCGTCTACTTCGCATCCCTACACGATGCCTTTGACTCCTGCATCTTCGACCTCATCTAGGAGGTCGCCTTCACCAACCCAGCCAATCGACTGCTCTACAGCCGGGCTGCTCAAAGTGGCCATGAAAGAAGACCCAGTGTGGAGGCCTTGGTGAAGTTCTGTGTATATAAACTTTAAAAACACGTTGCTCAATTGCTTTAACACGTAGGATTAGGGACAGATCTCCATTACTAGGTAGTTTTTTTTTCAAACTGAAGCTTTAATTTGTACGAAGTATGTTAGGATTACGTTCCATAGGGATATTTTGTGATATTTGTGTCGGTACCTGTGATTTCAAGGCAATTTTTCTCTTATTATCTGTCACAAGATGCCTTAGAGAATTCAGTATGAATGTTTGTATTACAAGCGTTTCTGTGATACCCATGATGTTTGAATTTTTGGTAAAAAAAAGTCTTTCAATTATTGAATAGAAAATATAGCTTGTTACATATATTACCTCTTTTATTACATCTCCCATATACCAGTGAAAATTATTGAAATGAAAATAAATCGCTTGATAACAGAATCTGGGTATTTTAAAACAAAAATTGATTTCGTAAAAAGTGGTTGCTCCATGCCAATCAATTTGATTGCGAATTCAATTTTTCATAGTTTAAAATGGCTCAAAACAGATTAAGTTACCACTCAATTAATCGAAATAATACAAAACTCATAAAAACATATGATCTTCTATGACGTGCTCAGATAAAAAATCGAATATTGGTTTTTAAAAATTGTTCATTTCGCAAAGTATTTCTGAACAAGCAGAATGCCATATCTATTTTAGTTTATGTGTTTGACATTGTGGTTCACTGTATGTTTATAACAGCATGTGATTGAATCAACCTGCAAAGCCATAAGAAAGGACCAGTGTCTACAGGCTTGGTTTTTAGCTCTGAAAATAACTCGTATCTCAGATTGATCGCATCTAGCAAATTTTTACACTTAAATATTTTAAAACGCATACACATTTTCTTTTTTATTTTAGTATTTGATTATTCTGCAAAAGCTCAAAGAACGCAATTATGGCATTTTTGTCAAAAATTCACCTATTTTCGAATACTCTACTTACAATTTTTTTATAAGCGCATGGTCCCAACACTCCCTACATCAAGTTATAATAAAACACCCTGGAAAAAATACAAAACAAATAAGGGCGCTCATATTAAACTTAAAATTCAAGTCTCATTATAAATATGTATTCAAATGTTTCAACTTGTTTATATTTCTGTGTCTTTTATGTATTTCATTATATAGTTGAAGTAGATAGTGTTGAGAACCGTGCGCTCATAAAAAATAGTTCTAAGGTTAATATTCGAAAGTGGGTGAAATTCGGACAAGTAGCACTAAATTGAAAAAAATGAAAGTTTTAAATGAATATGCTCTCAAATATTTAAAGATACCCTCAAAGCTGAAAAACTCACTTATGGACCCTCGAACGAAAGCTTCATCCTGCGTCTTGCCTAGAAAAACCTAATAGACAATTTATTATCGAAGGCAGATACACTACTGAAAAAGCTTAACGAACTATTTAGCAATGCCACCACATACCAGATAAATCTGAATCACCAAGAGATTGAAAAGTGGATAGTCAAAACTATAATGCAAACGAATAACAAAGTATTTACTGACTTTGAACTAAAGAAATAATTATGAAAACCAAAACATACCTTTTTACGTTGTGACCATAGGTCGGAATCTTTGAAAAACATATTTTTCCACTAAAGCATATTCGCGTTCTTGTAGATTTGTTTTATCGAGGTAATTAACATGAGCAGTCTAAATGTTAGTAGTGGCAAAATATGATTAGTTCACTGTTACCAACAAGGTAATCATGCATTTGTTTAAGTATTTTGATAAGAAATTGATATAAAGAATAAATAAACCGTATAGGTGTCTTATAAATGTTATATATAATACAATATTGTATGTTTGAAATCCATCACTTTGTAATTTACATGTTTTGCCTCTTATATCGATTTTAATAATATCGAGTTTAAAACTTAAGTTTAAAGATCTCGTGAGTTACGTGTAGCTCATATCTTCAAATATTAAAATGCAACAATAATAATCAAGCAAAAAACTCACATTTTCAACCTCACAACAACAAAGCTTTTTTGTTTTCCTATATATGACAATTTTCCACAGTGATCTTTCTCTTCTCCGCAATAATTAGTAACCTACTTTGTAAAGGTTAGTGCCACATAGATGCCGCTGTAGCCAACTAAGTACATGATCATAATTATAGCTACAGCACCATCTACGAGACACTAACTTTTTCAAAGTAGGCTTCTAATTATTGCGTACCGGAGAGCGATTTCTAAGATAATTTTTTGTAGATGACGCTACATTATCTCATTTCATCTAGGATAATTTTTCGTACGCGCAAATCTAGTATTATGCTGGCTATCTTCAGATAGAATACGTTAATCAATGCTCACAGGTATTTCGACATCCCCATTGCATTACTACTATTACAAGCAATCAGCGATTTGACATGTCTGAGCAATAAGCAAACCTACAGAGCTCTATTCTAATACGTAATAAAATATGGAACCATGAATTAACGTCTTCTACCTCAAGCGCGTTCGAAAAATGATCCGAGATAAAATAAGGTATCGTAACGTGATCTATGAGAATTTGTCAATGCTGTTCATCAATTTATTATACTTTAAAAACGGTAGTATCTGATAGATGGCGCTGTAGTCAGCTATATGCTCCTATATAGTGAATAGAGAAACGAAGGTGCCAAATTCTCATATAGATGGCGCTACTGTATCTCATTTTATCTTTAATGATTTTTGGGATGCGCAAATATGGTTGGCTATCTTCAGGTAGAATGCATTAGTCAATAATGGAACATTTTTCGAACGGAATGCCACATAGTCCTTTTGGAAAATAAGCTAAGGTAGCACCCAGCCGCCATTTTGAAGTCTTCGACTGTCACTTTTGCATTAGAATATATGCATTAGTATCAACACCCCGAATTTCAGCTTGCTAAGTTGACTCGTCCAAAGAATAATTGGCAGGGGGCAACGTCCAACCAATTTGCATTTATTGAGGGCAAACATATCTGAAATGAATGCATGAATATGTGATTCGACAAATATATCAGATAGCATAGCAGATAATTGTAAATAAATTAATAAATGAAATCCGTGCTATGATAACTTCCTGGCTTAGAATGTTTTCCTTTATTATTTGCATGAAAATACTTTTACATACTTTTGTATCTTGAGCCATAAGATAACCAATCTAAATGCGCATGCAAACGCATAGTTACTACGAATGAGACGTTTTGTACGTTTAGACTTAGACTTGTACGACAGCTTTCAACTTCCCTAAGTAAATTACTTTATGTTCAATTTTAGAAACGTATTATGAAGCATCTAAATGAGCAGTAATTTTGTTGCAATATTTTGGCTTAACCTATTGGCGCTTCTAAACGGGCAATATTTTTCTTTTCCCGTTTTGACATTTCGAGACCATCTTCATATAGTGCTATTAGATTGCCAAATTATTGGAATCCTGCTGAATACAATCTAATGTAAATAATGAATGCTGTGCGATGCGTTCAATTTCGTCAATCATTCTTGTCTAATTTTGTAGTCCTTCTAATGAGAAAATTCTGACCAGGTATGTGTCTACACATTCCAGACGATATTGCCACAAGATTGTCGAAAACAACTGATATATCCGAGATATATAGCCGGGCTATAAATATTGGTCATTTAGATGCTCCATAAGACCACTATAGCCTAGCTATCTTGAACAGCATAATTGCAATATCTTGGCTACATGTCTGCAATGTGTAGACAGATACATTTTTCAGTTTCTCCTCGGAAGGACAAGATCAGGCATGAATAACTGATGAAACTGTACGCGTCACGATAAGTTACACTAAGTAGGATTCTGATAGTTGAGCAATCTGACAGCAATACATGAGAATAGGTCGGAAATGTGTAGCAATATAGCCAGGCGATACTGAAAATATTGGAAAATGTTTCTGACTACTCTACTGCAGCTAAATAATGCAGGATAAATGTTTTCCGTTTAGAGGATCCGTTTTTATTGCCTATTTCCACTTATCACTGATTGTGAGGTAGGTATTGGATGTAAGTGGAATTTTGCTTTGCAAACTCTTTCATCAATATTGAAAATCTGTTAAAACTGGTGGATGTGTATATACACCTACGGGCCAATAAAATCACTCTGGCCAGTATTTATCAGATGAGTGCAGCGACAGGCAGCGATGCAGGATCGGCAGGGGTATTACGTAACTTGACAAGTGACTTGGAACTAGCTGTCGTTCACTTCATGCTCACTTGTAGCAAGCACACTAGACTACCTAGTAAACAAGTTGACATTTTATCGGTTTTTTGACATTATTTAGGTTTTTTGCATAATAACCCTGACGATTGTTACCAGAACTGTTAGCTGCGTTGACATGCGCATTATTATCCAATCAAATGCTTAATTATGGTATGGTCCACGTATGTTCTGTATGTGAAAGACTGTCTTAAGTCAGAACAGGAGTCTTTAAAATAGCTTCACCAAAGCTACGAAGTCCTCTATTCCTATACATTCTAATACACCTTACTCCATAATGGTTTTACCAAATGGTGACGAAGGAACAAGAAAAATGGGAAAAGTTGAGAACGTCAACATACTGAATTTTATGAATGTTTTCGGACTTGCAGATTATTTTTGGACGTAGTGCAAAAGTTCATGGAGGTCAAAACTTAAAAAAATACGCCTCTCCCTGCATCACCAAATCATACAAACTATTTGTGATTTGTTGGCAAAACATGTCAAAGAATTTCAATCCAGTGAAAATGGTACATTGGAACCGTAAAGGATTCCAGTCCAAATTAAAAATGAGACAATTCTGTTTTTGTCTCGGGCGTTGGTGCTTAACAAACACAATGAGCTGACACAATATATATCTTTACAAGTTTGCTTGTATACGTTCAAGCTCATCTAACATACATTTCCGTTTTAGAAATTTGAGAACGAGCAAAAGATTCTGTAGGTGTTTCACGAAGCATTAATTTCTATTCAGCTTATATAATTATCTCAAACTTATCCTGATTGTTTCGCTAATCCATGTTTCCCTGGCCAAAAGATGACCGTACATGTTGTAAAAGACTACTAATGTTTAAGTTACCTCGGTGGCCGTTTTAAAATACAGTACCAAAAATGGATGAAATAGCTATCTTTAGATGTTTGATCTTATACCTTCAAGCTCATCTAACACACATTTCGTTTTTTTATTCGGAAATCATATCAAAGAATTTGAATATATCGGAATAAATAAAATGAAACAAGTAAACAAATGACAAATGACACAAATATGTAAAATTTCCAATCAGGCGTTGATACTTTATACAGGATATTTCAGAAAAACGTAGCAATATTTCTAGGGTAATAAGTTTCAACTGCAACACTATAAGTTTCAAGTATCACACTTGAAACTTATTCTGTGGTTTTCATGTCGATAATCTCCCGTACTTGCCTGGCCGAATCGTAAAGAACATAGGTAAGGTATAGGAAAGATATACATGTATAAAAAACTCCAATCTATTCTACTTTGGAAATACCCTGAAAATCCAATGTAGTAGACAGTAATCCTCACGCACCAAAGTATTATTTGGACAAGGTTCATGTTTTGTCCTTATTCAGTGTCATCAGTGGCCTTGGACATTTTAGGACACATGTTTCTAGGAACTTTTTTGTTATTTTTTGATTTACTTTCTACCTTAGAAGTATTGCCACGTTTTTTGTATTAGAGAAATCAATTTCAACAATGCCTCTTTTCAGCTTGAAAGATAAGATTCTGTGCGACTCTTTACTTTTATTAATTCATCAAATCATCAATTTCAAATACCGGGATGTCTAAAAGCTCTCCCTGACTGAAAGCTCATAAGAAAAAGCTCTGGTTTCTTGCTATTCATTAAGGGACGCTAGCTAAGTCCAAACGTGAGAACGCGCCTTTACCCCGTTTTTTTTTTGTCGAAGAAAAAACTGCCCTCTCAGGCATAGAAAAAGAAGTCGCGCTTAGGCCACGTTCCCGCACGTTCCCATGCACACGCTGGCTGATCCAAATCAAGCCTTGCGTCCTTCGCCCTACACCCCATACCCCACCTGCCCTAACGATCCAGCAACAAGGAGCATATGGCTTCCTTGCCCTTGCCGAATACGCTACAACCGAATTCCTTTCCCACGATCCTATAATAGCTAGCCGTAAAACCACCGAACGACCGGTGGTTTTTTTGCACTACCGGGCCTATTTTCAGAGCTTAGATTTCTTTTTGAAGGTGATACGGGAAATGGCCCTATTTACTGTGATAGTTGTACGTTTTTATTGGATATAGGCCACTTTTCAATATGTTCTATAATACAATGTTTGTCAAGTGTTATACTAGTGCATATATTTATGATGTTCTTTTGACAGAACCAATTT